AGGGGGCTGCACACAAGGATCACTAACATCTCAATTTATGAAGCTATAAGATATGATTAGCTGGACAATGACAACCATTGTTTCAAAAACCTGCAGATTCTATTTGGCCTAATGTGTCCAAGTATCTTCCTTTATAAAGGACAGTCCTCTACTTGAAGGGCTGTCAGAAAGCAGTTCTGAGTTTAAAGGTGTCCTCTTTTTGAAGAGTTGTCCAGTCTAAATCCAGATTAGAACCATAAGGAAGGAAGCAGTGAAGACCTTGATGCTGTCCATCAACAACACCCAGATGGCAGAGTAAGCTGGTACACCAGTCACCTGATCAGACCTAATCAGTATGGGGAGATGAACTTTACTTTTATTTAAAATATATTCATTATTTCTAAATCTGCACCCATACATATATATATTTGTGTATATGAATATTAAGCAATTTGGCATCCCTCTTGTCCTCTTTTTAAAAATTAATACCTTTTTTTTCAATAGTGCATAAGTAGCCAATCTAATTTGGCCAAAGACTACCATGGGAGAACAGCTAATCATAGAATATGCTCATTGGTAAAAATCCCTTTTACAAACACTTTTTGATTACTTTAGAAATTATTGCCCAAGAAATCACATGAGATACCTGCTCTTGTGGCATGTTTCTGTACAGATACATTGTAGAAACTTCCCTTTCAGGTGGGCTACAGGCTATGGGTTTATTTTCTCACTGGAATAGTACTGTTCTTAGGTTTCCCTTTCAACAGCATTTCAAGCAGACAATTCTTCTCAAAGGCAAACCTATGTTTAAGATGGAACAGGTCACCTCATAATGCAAGGAGGGTGTATTTACTGAGGAACTCTGGGCCCTGCTCTGTGAAATGCACAATACCTCAAAGCTGCCTTATTTAGTTCAGGAGATGTTCAATTTCTTTCCACCTACAGGTGGCCGGGAGCAGAACAGCTGCTGTTTCTGTCTTTATAGCATTACACCAGTCTTTAAACCTTTGAATGGTTTCTTCTGGGAGTCTGAGTGAGAATGTTGGTACAAGGAATGAAGTGCAGAAGTGGAGACACTTCCTGTAAACAAACCTTATTAGGTTACCATGGTCCTACAGACTGCAATTAAGTCATCTTAGGCCAAGGAGATGCCATCAGCTGTGGGGAAGTACAGTTATATCACCCTCATCAGCTGAGGTGAGAGAATCTGTGCCAGCAATCTGCCCTCCACAAGAAGAGATTCTGTCATTCACCCTTTATTCCTGATTCACGCCATGCCATTAGAAAACAGGCCTGGGATATGTGTGAGGAGGTATGGGATATCAAGCTAACCAACAAGGAATAATAAATTGGCTATGGAGAAAGTCCAGCTTCTCAACCTGGCCTTAAGGGGTACGGCCACCCAAGATGCCTTGATCTAATTATATGGAAAGAAAATCCTTCTGAATTTTTAAAATCAAAACAAGAGCAAGGCAAGTTATTTAACTTAAACCTGAAGGAAGAATTGAGGGCCAGGACCCAGGGACAGGGGAGAAGAAGCTTTCCCAGTATTTTATTAAAGAAAAAGTGACCTAGGGGGTGACTGGGGCCTTCACAGGAAATGGAGGCAAGATCTCGTGGGTTCAGGCAACTGATAATAGAACAACCTTACATTCCACCATAAAAGGGGGGATGGAGCTCATATTTGCATATGTGTACTTGTATTTACCTGTACAGATGCAAATTTAGAAATACTAGAATTTAAATAGAAATACAGTGTTTTACTATATGGTAGGGAAAACTGACCTGTTCATCTGCTGTCCAGATGCTCTTGATGGGCAACTTCAAGGCTTCTGTTCTCCCTTCTTGTGGTTTTTTATCTTTAAGGTGTGCTTTGACAGCACTGTCCATCAGAGAGCAGAATGACTCCTCGCAACCCTTCAAAGAGAGCAGTGTTTTCTGCAAAGTCAGACACAGAGCCACCCTATCTGTCAGGAAGAGCTATCTCTCCCCACTGTTGTGCTGAGGAACAAGCACACCCTGCTATGATCTTTGTGTTTGGTACTGCCTGCAACAGACTAGGAATAGTGAAGGACCAGAACCTTATGATCAGCCTTTACTCACTTTACCTTTGAGAGCTGCCATGTTCTTGAGCACCCAAGCAAGCCCTCTATAATCCTAAGCCCTATTGAGCTGGATTTGCAAACAGCAAGTGACTTGTGTTATCTGTGGAACAAGCAGGAAGAAGCAGTCATTGGCTTGTTCCACATATCACCAATAAGGTGAAGATTCCTGGTCAAGGGGTCAGAAACAGCTTGGGCCCAGCAGATCACAAGTGCCTTTGCTCACACTCTTTAGTTTTCTACAAGTCCGCTCCAGAAATGTGGGTATCTTTGAATAGATGGAACTGTTGTTAACATCACTCATTTTTGAACCGAAGCCTCTGGTTCTAAGAATCTGCAAGACTCATGTGGTCTCTCACGCTAAATGTCTGAAACTGGATGCTGAAGACTCAGCTGTTCTGTTAGGAGTGTATTTCTGAAATGTGCCACATGATTGTAGGGAAATTCATGAAAACATTTTGGTCTGTTCTTTTAAATACTGGGCAGAGCTCCCAGGGATCAGGGACTGGGAAGGCATCACTCAGCACATTTCCCAGTACTTCCTCAGGCCACCTCACCACTTCCACACATTGTTCTTGGTCTTATATTCCCAGAGTCCAATGCAGATACTACTATTACTAATACAATATAATAAATATATAAAAAGGGAATCAAGCATTCCAAAATCTGAAAAGTTGTTTTGAACAAGCAGCAGACCAAAATTAAGCAAACGTTATGCAGACATGCTGAATTCCTTTCAAAAATTTAACCATGCCAATTTGAGCCTCTGACGACAACTCTAGCGATGTCAGGATGAGGCACCTAGCAGAGTGAAAATGAATACTGCCTGACGTGTGTGTTTGCATTTAGTAAATCAACCTGTCTTCTCTGCCTTTTCTTTCTCAACTGAATGTAGGCGGGTTTCTCATCCATCCCGTGTCTCTTCACAGTTTGTTGTTTCTCTTTAATTAGCCTGTGGAACTAGAGCAAAAGTACTCACTTGAATATCTAAAGTAAAAGTACTAAGTTGGTTACACAAACTTGGAGCCTTTATATCTCCTGGTGTGGACACCAGCACAGTCTCTCAGGGCCCCCTCCTGAGGAGGTCACTCTAAAAAGGATACAAATCATATAAGATCACAAGTGGGGGTGTTTATTGTCAAGGGCCTTGAGGGCCACATCTCTCTAAAAACCATGGAGAAGCACCGCCTACCATGGCTGTAATTTCTGCCCAATTGTCTTGCCAATGAGACACATGCTGCCCACAAACCTGATCTGCAAGGGAAATCACAGTTTTCATTCTCACATGAACCACAGCAAATTCAGTAACAGCAGCAGGTGCAGGTAAAGGTGGAGGGGAAGTCCACCAAAATAGCCAAGAGGCCTGCACATCCTTGCTGGACTTCTGTATCAAGATGCCTTATAGATGCTGCCTTTGTGCTATTCCTCACTCAGCCAAACATCTAAATAGACAACCTGTACCAACCAGCCAGGAATCCTGCCTGGCTAACTAGGAAGTAGCAATCTTTCCCAGGACCTTCCAGATTATTAGTGTTGTGAATGGAACATATGCAGTTATTACTGATTGTTTGTCTGGCTGGTCATCCCTGCTGGTTCTGCTACTGTGTTAGGAATAATGCATTTCTCCAGCACTGATTATGCCATGTTTCATATCTAAGGAGATGTGAATTTCCAGCCTGGCATCACATATGTTGTAGCTGCTCTAGAGAATATGACTGGATAGTTTCTTCATTTTATTAATTTAAAACATTGTGGCACCACCATTCCCTACATTCTATTTAGAATTTCAGGGCACTGTATATTCAATTACAACATAGCATAAATACAATAATAAAACAATGGATAAAACCCTTAACAATTAAAACACACACTAATTAAAATGCTTGGGTGGACAAAAATATTTTAAGCCACTAGTAGTAATACTGTAACATGCATGGAAGTTAAGCCTTTGTAGCAGCCTTGCCTAACCTGGAAGGCACCAGATCTGTGGGACTGCAATTCTCAATATCTACAGCCAGCATAGATGATGGGGACTGTAGTCCAATATAACTGGAGATCACCAAGTTGGGGAAGGCTGTTCTATAGGGAAAGCATTCCATACAACCAGTAGGAACAGTGCCTGTGAAAGGAGATGAGCAATGACCCTTCTTTTCACCAGGTTCATTTTATAACTTCATATTTTTTCCGCTTGAATTCTTACAGGGGTGAGTCATGCATCCCCACTCTATTACTTCGGCATGACAGCAATCATCTATATTCCCTCTTTTTTAAAAAGGGCAAGTTTATCCTCTTGCAGCAAGCCCTCCACTTTCTCTATTCATGAAAAAGTAGTCTTGAATTTTTGCATTTATTTTATTATTTTTTTAAGTTATGAACTCCCCATGGCTAATGCTAGCATGTGCCGCTATACTTTTTTTTAAAGAAGCCAATAGTAAAATGTCTATCCCTCCACAATGATGCAACACCCCTGACATCTATGATTTGTAGATTGGAGATCATACAATTAACTTTGATTTTGAATTGCTGAGCCTCCTGTGCAAATGCTGTTTCTTGTTGATTATTATTGATCCACTGGTTGTCTGGATAAGCTCTCTGGGTTCCTATCTTCATGGGTTCACTGTGTGTCCTTCAAAAATGCCTTCGTTCTTTAGGGCTGGAGTTCTTTCCATCTCCTGCATTTCATTAAGTAAATCTGGTGGCACAAAAAATATTGCCACCAGCAAATAATTCTGTCATGCAGGATCCTACTTCTCTGGGAGGTGCTCTCTTCTATTTTTTTCCAGTGACACTGCAGCTCACTCTTGTGCACTGGATGCAAGGCTCGATGACTCATAGGCTTGGGGCAGTATGTGCAGAAAAAGATTTGCATGCGTTTCTCCCTCTATAATGGCTCCCCTCTCTCTTTGTTCTCTGTGTCAGAATGAAGAATAAACTGTGGTACTTTGAATTTGGCACAACAGAAACCTTTGCTGCCACCTGCAAGAAGCTCCATGACTATATAGAGATTGAGGTGAGTTTCCCAGAATTTTTAAGCTGCTGCTCCTACTGGGTACTGTGGTTCATCATCGCAGGATTATTGCAGCACTTTTGTAGAAACAGAGTTGGAAGGGACCCTGGAAATCCCTTAGTGCAACCTTTGCTCAATTCAGGACCTGCAATTCTGACTGATCACTCAATCTCTGCTTAAAGTAGGGCTTTATGCATTGCCAAAAGAAATGACAAAAGAGGACACCACTTTGTATAACGTTTGCATATAGTAATGTGTAAGTGCAGGTGCAAATTTAGAAATCGTAATTGTAATGTAAATAGACCACATTCGCTCTCACCATGGTGGAGCAGACTGACCAAGTGACATGTGTGCCCCCTTAGTCTATTGTCCAGGTGCAAGCTGTGGGTGGACATCTTCAAAAAAATGCTTCAGCTAACTCTTCTCTCCTCCTACGGTTCTTTGACTGCACTGTCCTTCAAATACTGTCCTCTGCAAGCTTGTCCAAATGTAAGACAGACCTCTGCAAAGTAGGACATCTGACCATTTTAGCTTAACTATCTCCAAGGAAAGAGTCCACCAGGTACTGAGGCACTGCTCCATTGCTGAACAGCTCTTGCCATTAAGAAGTTCTCCTAACACTCAAAATAGGCTGCCCTGCAATTTACTCCCATTGATGCCAATCCATACTCCTCCCCCCCCCACCCCCCGAGGCCACAGAATATGGCTGTTCTACTTTCAATGTAGTAGTTATTTGGATATTTGAAGGCTCCTGTCATGTCTTTCCTTAATCTTCTCTTCTCCAGGTCAGACATATCTAGCTATTTCAACCCTTCCTCATAGGGCATGGTTTCTAGATCTGTCCCCTACCTGTTCATCCTTCTCTGAACATGTTCTAGTTGGTCAATATCCTTCTTAAAAAGTGGTGCCCAGAGCTGGCACAGTGCTCCAAATGTCTTATGTTTGTTCAAGTTTGTTCAAGTCGTATATGGCTAACTCCTCCTGCTGATTCAAGCACCCTTCCTGTTTCTCTTTCAGTTGAAGCCGCTGCTGCATCTGCCACATGGAAGTTTCTGGAAATGCTTCCGTATAGCATTGACGCCATGTAGCATTCATAACATTTGCAAGTGGCATGAAGCTCCTCCTGTCACCACCACTCTGAATCATTTCCAGGAACTTTGATAGGGCAACTTGTAAGGATCAGCTTTTGGAGTGATTTTTACTTTCAGATGGGTAGCCATGTTAGCTTGTTGTATCTCCTGAAAGACTAATGCATTTATTATGGCATAAGCTTTATAGAGTGTCCATCATAGATACAAGTGTAATTTCCTTGTTTGCTAGGTATATATACATACAGGTGTATTAGAGTCAAGAAAAGAAAAAGTAAGTTATGTGCTCACATGGCAATGAAATACAAAAAGTACAGGCTGTAACAATCCAATTAACTGGCATTTGCTGTAGCAGTAATTGCAGACAAAGCAATTATCCTAGCATTGCCAAGCCCATCAATGCACATTAACATTGCTAGGAGTTGAGCATATGTGAAAATGTGCGTATCATGTCATCTGAACCCTGTCAAGATAACAAACCATAGCAAAACATCCACAGTTCATAATCCAGCAATAAAGCATGAATTTTCTTATTAGTTGTTTGTGATTGGAAGCCATGATTTGTTAATGGAGCTGAATTCAGACAACATGGTAACCCACACATTAACAACAACCTGCTGTTCAATATCAGCCCACACTCAACCCATACTCAGCTCTTTAGTGTGGGTTACTGTGCTTTTAAGCCAGTTCTATCATACCCAAGCAAAAGCAGATAAAGTCCAATCAAGTAGGCAATTGGGTGATTATCTCCAACAGGGAATCTTCTAGGAAGTTGGATGTTCATTCAGTGTCCTGTGCTTTGAAGTGCTAATTATGTATGTATGTATGTATGTATGTATGTATGTATTACATTTCTTTACCACCCAATAGTCAAAGATGTTTGGATGGTTCACAGTAAAACTGACAAGGTGCTTTACCTGTTCCGTACTCATTTCCTGGTAATTTCTACATGATAGGCCAGGGGTCTTGATGTTCTTTCAGGCGATGCAGTTTCAGAGCAGCACTCTGAAAATGCCATTCAGCTGTTAGTAATTTGATAGACAACTGGATAATGGATAATATTTATATCTGATATGCAATTTAAAAATCCCAATAAAATGTGCTAATAATAACAATGAAAGAAATAGGTAATGATCCGCACTAAATAAAAGAACTGGAATCCTACTTTAGCTGATTTGATGTTCTCTTTGTTCAGATTATCACTAATAATTAGGGTTGCCATACTAGATCAATTAACTGGTTAAGATTATTAACCTTCTTGCATTGCATTGCATGGCTGCTTAAAAGTAAGTTTTGCAACTGGAGGTGGCATAGGCTATTTTGGATTCCTAGATCCAGGGTTGGAGGCAGAGCTGCAGTCCACACGCCAACCCCCTCCCCTTGTCCTCAAGATCCAACCCAGAGAGAAGGGTGCCTGCCGCCTCTCCAGGGATGCTCCAGTAGGCAGTGAGCGGAGGAGGTTGCAGAGGACAGGGTTAGGCATACCCAGAAAGGGCTGCCTAACAAAAAGGTGGAGTGGGGAGGAAAACATTGTTTCCATTATGCTTTCCACTCTGCCTCAGATAACCACTAGCCTCTGCGTTCAAAGGCTAACAATCATCTCAGCTGGTGTGCACCCTAAAAAGGTGTGCAAAGTTAATCAGGCAGTAGATTTTAATCATCATATATAATTGTCAGATTGCCAGTCCTTATGTAGCTGAAATCCATGCACAAGAGATAGGCATCAGTAGACTCAGGAAGAACCCCAAGTCTTGCAGAAGTACAAAATATATTCAAGAAGAATCCCTAAGCTGGGAGGAGCCCTGAATGCCAATTTACTTTTTTAATCATGTATTCATTTGTTTGATAAGAGGAACAGAAAATTGGGTGGGAGGTGAAATCAGTGGAATATCCTGAACAGCCTGTCTTTGCTGCAATATTTTGTGTTAGTGACACATTAGTGTGTGGTCATATATACAGAGGTAGCTAGATTGCTTCTGATGCTGCTTTATAAAAACAGCAGGTGCAAGGGCCATCCTAAAAGAGTCATTCTCCCTCTTCTCATGCAGAAGTGCCATTTTTGTGCATCGAAATCTTAGGAGTCAAGCTACTATCTCTATCCAAGCCCAAACAAATAGAACAAAGCTTGTTATTCTTCAATTCCAGCAGTTTCATGCTGAGGTTTCCTTTGAAATTCTGTTGGTGGAAAATGGCAATTTTCAGGTGAGCAATAGGGTGTCCAGGGAGAATGACACGTTTGCCTCCCAGTTTCTGAATGTTGTCATTTCTGATGTCAGATTTATGACCATTTATTTCTTTGTGCAGAGACTAATGTGTTTATTCTATGTAGAAAATCAGAGAAATGCCACAGATGGCTATAGTACCTAGAATGTGTAGGGAAAGTGTGTGCAATATTTAAAATGTTAAAAAAAAAGTAAACCTAGAAAAGGATATTTCCGAAAAGGCAGCAGTATCATGGTGCAATTCAGTAATTTTAGACTCTGGAATTGATTTATTATATTTATATCCCACCTTCCCTCACAAGGAATTCAAGATCTTATACATAGCCAGCCTGCACTTATCCTCACAATAACCCCTTGAGGTAGGTTAGTTTCAAAGAGAGTAACAATCCCAAAGTCATCCAGAGGCTGAGTAGGAATTTGAAGCTACCTCTGTGTGGTTCTAGTCTAACTCCTGTGCCATAGTAAATCCTTTCTCTTTGGATTGTGATGAGTGTTCAGAAGTAGTACATCAGCCATGTGGCATTTGGGAGTGCTCTGTCTCATTGTGCTGAGTATGGTCCTGGCCATTTGCCCCATAGTCCTGGCCTGGCAGCACTGCAGGAAATCAGCAAATACTGTACTATCCAATCACATCCTATATGGCAAATAAAGTATCAGTGACTATATTCCATCTTTGCAGGATGCATTGCATTTTCCCAAGTACAAAGTAGAATATTTTGAATACTCAGAAATGCAGATCTCTTGCAAGAAAAGATCAAAATTTTAAAAGATATACAGTCCATACACAACAGGTAAATAACAGGTAAACACATATGCCTATGTGAAGGTGCTTGTCAATCTGCTGTGGTCTCTGAAGCAGGAATAGGTGAGAAAGGACAGGCAAAGGAAGCCCCATGTTCCTCACTTCTCCAAGCCATGTGCAAGACTGCCAGCTGGGGAGCAGCAAAGAAAAGTTCCACGGGTTCCTGCCAGCTCCCACCACACTGCTGCCCAGCAGGAGTAGGAAGAAATGGGTGCATTTTGCCTCATTTCTTGCAAACATGTTGTTAGCAGAGGCCACAGCCCAGGAGGAAGCCAGGAGAAAGCTTCCCAGCAAAAGGTTGCCTGATGGGACACTGCCAGAGGGGCACTTCCTTTTCCTCTTGGGGTTTATGCTTTCCACGGGCTTCATGAAAACAATTGTCATCTCGCTGCTAATTAGAGCTGGCACGCAATTGTGCCTCTGGCCTGCAATTACAGATCTAAGCATGTCTTCAGATTGAATGCATTCAGCTATATTCCAGCTAACAGCCCATCTCTTGTTGCTCCTCTTTGTGAGCAGATAAACAGAAGCTATCTTTTCCCAAAACAGCTGGAAGCTCCAGCAGCCACTCCTTTCGCAACATCACCAGCCACTGCAACATCATGAGATACTCTGGGTACAAGGGGTGGGGGATGGGGAGGCTGGTTTATAGTGGAGGAAGCTGCTGCTTGCATACAGATGCCAAAGGCTATGCTTCTGCAAAAGGAGAAACAGTCTGAACTGCATTGTACAAGTTTGCACACATCTTTAATGGGATCCCTTTCGGTGTACTTCTCAGGACTGACATCTGGGCATTTGTCATCTCTGAGGCTGGTTTTTGGAGAACAGAATTGTTCCTCTTTCCCTCCCCCTTGTAGCTGTACTTCAGAGCTTGACTGGAAGCATTTAGGT